AAGGGGGCGGCAAGATTGTAAGAGTTCAAGGACCTGGAAATCTGCTGTGAGATTGTGTCACCTAAAAATGACAAGAAGGTTTCACCCATGGTACCTCAACAGTATGGCTCCCTAAACAAGACCTGAAGATGGACAATACCAAGTGACATGCTAACATGGAAGGGAGAAAGCTCACAGGCCTCCACACTTCCACAGAGAACTACAGGCAATTAACAACTGCTGAGAGGAGGAAACTGAGTCTTCCCTAGGGATGTCCCCTGAACTGGTTATCCATACCAAGTGGTCAGCCCTGAAATCATATACATATGAGCAACCCTGAGTAGACTCAGCGGGTTCTAATTTACATATCATGCAGTCGAATGTGTGGGTATATATGCAACAGCAATTAAAAAGAGGCCATGTACTTAGGGGGAAAGGGGTGGGACACGGTAGGAGTTGGAGAGGGAAAAGGAAGTGGGGGGGGTGATTTAATTATTAAAAATAGAATGAAGAAGAGAGTGGAGGGAAGAAATAGTAAACGCGATGAGAATTAAAGAAAATCATGTAAAAGAGAAAAGTAGAAGACAATTAGAAAGAACTATATAATGCTTTTTCAAATATGCAAAAAGAAAAAATAACTTTACAGAGGGAGATTTGGCAGATTTATACCTTAGATTACTGCTATTAACAATAATAGTAATAGGGCACATATATCAAAACCATATACTGCCTGACAGGAATCAGTGAGAATACAGAAGCATGCCTGTGGTGTTTCTGCTAAAAGTAAACACCCCCCCAAACAAAACAAAACAAAACAGCTCAAATTTTATCATAAGATTAAATAAAAGCAAACAGAAAGATATGTGTCCTGTAATCTTCAAGTATCAAAACAATGAAAGCTTTAAAAAACCACAAAAACCAAAGAAAGGTTCAAAAACTAAAGAAGGGCACAGCTTATTCTAACATGTTTGAACTAAATCTTTTGCTATAAAGGGCATTACTGAAAGAACTGGCAACATTTGAATAGGGCTGAGAACGAATTGCCAAGCTGGAAAAAGCAAAGGCTAAAGAACTCGCCACTAAACTGGGTTAAAAAATAATGCACACTTAAGTTTTCTGTACATAAATATAATTACAAAATTATCTTCCAAAAAAAGGTAGTAATGTGACATTGCAACTTCTATGATTATGATGGCTATGTCATATTATGATGACTCTTCTTGGAAATGGTAAAGCATTCAGGGGTCATAGGGTCAACAACTTATTACCAATAATTCCAGAAAAAAAATGGTATCTTTATGTTGTTTTTGCAACATATCTGTAACTACAGTGTTTTCAAGTTTTACAACAAGATTATTTATATCTGGGACTCTAGCTCACTTGGCAGAGTGCTTATCTAGCATATACAAAGCCATGAGTTTGCTTTCCAGCACAGCATAAACCAAACCAAGGACGATGGTATACATCTGGAATCCTGACCTGGGGAGGTCACAGGGAGAACCAAAGTTCAAGGTCATCCTTGGTTATTTAGTGAGTTCCAGGAAAGCCAGCTCTACATGAACCTTGTCTTTGTTTGTTTGTTTGTTTTTCGAGACAGGGTTTTTCTGTGTAGTTCTGGCTGTCCTGGAACTCACTCTGTAGACCAGGCTGGCCTCGAACTCAGAAATCCTCCTGCCTCTGCCTCCCAAGTGCTGGGATTAGAGGCATGCGTCACCACTGCCTAGCCCGAACCTTGTCTTAAAGAAAGAAAAAAAAACAGGGGCTGACAGGGTGGCCCAGTGGGTAACAGCACTTAAGGCCATGCCTGGCAACCTGTTGTTGGCCCTCGGAACCCACAGAGTGGAAGAATTGACTCCTACAAGTTGTGCTCTGACCAGCCCATGTTCAGTGAGATACACCAGCACACACAAGTCACACAAAACAAATCAATAGAAAAGACATGAATAAATAAAGGTTGGGTCTGGGGAGCTGTCCTAGTGTATAAACTGCTTGCTGTGCAAGCATGAGAACCTGAGTTCAGATCTCTAGTGCCCATATAAAAACTCGGCATGATAGTACATATCTGTGCAGCCCCAGTACTGAGAGGGCAGGCACAGGTGGATCCTGAGATCTTCAAACTGTCAAGTCTAACTGAAATGGTTCAGCAAGGGATCCTGTCTCAAAAAAAAAAAAAAAAAACAAGATAGAGATCGATAGAGGGAAACACCTAATGTTGACCTCTGACCTCTACTAGACATTTATGAGCAAGGATACCTGTACAAACATGTGCATACACTATAAACATATACAAAGATATTTGATATACCCTGAGACATGACATCATTTTTAAAGTTTCTGCTTTGTTTTTTGTTGTTGTTGCTGTTGTTGTTTTTCCAAGACAGGGTTTCTCTGTGTAGCACTGGCTGTCCTGGAACTCTATCCATAGACCAGGCTGGCCTCGAACTCAGGGATCCAACTGCCTCTCTACCTCCTGAGTGCTGGGATTAAAGGCGTGCAGCACTACTGCCTGGCTTAAGTTTTCTTTTTATAATTTTACAGTGAAAACACTGTAGTTCAGCAAGAATAGCATAAAGAACTCAATTTTTCCTGAACCATTTGTGATTAATTTATCTGTGAGTGTATATATGTCATAAAGTCCCACACCTAGCTGACAAGCTACTAGCAATTGATGGCTACTGGAGGAGAGACAGTTTTCTTCAGGGATGTGACTGAGAGGCTACCCATCCATGCACCATACAGGCAACACTGAACAGAGTCTGGGTTGAAGAAAAAAAAAGAAGATATATGCTGGAGACAGGGGAAGAAGTGGAGGGGAGAAAACAAGAGAAGATTTGATAAAAATGTGTTTATGAAATTCCCAATTAATAAAAAAAGAAATTTTAATAACCACTGCAACTAATATGACAAGTAGACATCTCTCAGGTCCTACTCTCTTTAGAATCCTACCCTTAAAAGCTTAGCTTCTGCAGTAAACACTACTAGCTGGCCACAGTTTTCAAGGGCTTTAGGGGGAAAAAATTCTATCTAAAAATTTCACTCTGGCCAGGCGGTGGTGGCACACGCCTTTAATCCCAGCACTTGGGAGGCAGAGGCAGGTGGATTTCTGAGTTCGAGGCCAACCTGGTCTACAGAGTGAGTTCCAGGACAGCCAGGGCTACACAGAGAAACCCTGTCTTGAAAAACAAAATAAATAAATAAATAAATATTTCACTCATACCTATCTCAAAAGTTCCCTATGTTTGGAAATGACCCTCAACTCCCCTAATGGAGTTTGGTGCCAGCCTTCCAATTCTCACACCACGTTGTAGGAAAACAGTGAAACTTCTAGAGCTTCTGCAGTAGGAGTCACACTCCATACACACTACACATTAAACAGAGTCTTATGTAGCCCTGGCTGGCCTGGAACCCTAGATGTGTAGACCAGACCAGCCTAGCCTTGAACTTACAGAGATCCAATTGTTTCTGCCTGCCTCCTAGGTGACAGGGTTAAACAAATGCGCCATCATATCCATTTTTGACTACACTGTGAATTTAAGACCAAACTGAGCTATATGAAACACTGTCTGGGGAAATAAAAAGCAAAAAGAAAAAAAAGAAAAAAGAAAAAAATCACTCCCCAAAATTTTAAATAGGTATAAAAATTTAAATTTTGTCTATGTGTTCAAACACACTTATGTAGCTATCTGTGGGTGCTATGGCGCCTTCGTGAAGCCCGGTGGATGGTGAGAGAGGTTTCAATACCGATCTCCTGGATCCCAGTTCCTACAGTCATCTACCTGTTTTCTGACCCTCAAGAGCCCAGAGACTATATTACATATCTGAATATTCTTGGGACTTCAGCAGGTTAGTACATGACCAGCACCAAACAAAGACCACATATTCTTTATTTTGCTTTGTTTTTTGTTTGTGAGGCAGGATCTCACTAGGTACTCCTGGATGTTTTCCAACTCGCTATGTAGAGATGCGTCTGCCTTTGCTGCCCAAGTGCTGAAATGAAAGGTTCTCTGTGAAGTCCCAAGACAGCAAAATAGGTCTAGATCAGTCTGAAACTAGCTTCAAGGGTAGAAAGACTTTCACAAATGTTACTAGGCTGTGGGCTGACTTTAAAGACAGGAGTCTGTTTCATTCATTCCTCTATTTGTAGCACCTATATGATCCACACATAATATATGCTCAAAACAACCCTGCCCAGTGAATTAAACAGCCTCACCTTTAAACACGCCTTTTATGAGTGGAGCTACTGCTGTATTGAAGACCTCTTCCTGTTCAGTAGAGGGGTCAAACACAAAATCGTAGGTAAATGATTTATCATTACCAACCACCACCTGCAAGAGGCAAGAGACAAGGGATAGAAGGATTAAAAAAAAATGCCTGACCACGCCCCTCGCTCCTTTAAGCCTCAGCTGTGGAGGAAGCCACTCTAGACTACCCACCTGAGGCTCTCCGGGCACAAAGGAAAGGCACGTCTGGCAGCCCTCATTAATCTCTTTAGAGACGAGGGGACGACAACGCAGTGCCACTCTTACAGGAATTCCCTTCACCTCTTCTCTCATGGTACCAGCTCAGTAGGTGTCCGTGCCGAGTGAAGCCAGCTCTCCCTGGAGCCTCCGGAAGCTGGCAGGAGTGGAAGGCCCTTCTCAGGCTGTAGGAGACCTCGGAACTCGCTGATGTACTCCCCTCCCAGCAGGATCACTGAATCCTGTCACTCTTGGCCACCGCCTAATGGTTTGTCAGTCCCAATAATGCAGGGCGAAGTGGTGTCTGAAATAAAGAAACTCCAGCGGAGACAGCGACCGCGACCCCAAGTCCTAAAGTGCTTCAAAGCGCAGAATCTGAGCTAACGCGGTACCCAGTAACTCACCAACCTATACTTCCCTTGCTGGATCTTCCCTGGCGCCCTGTTCCAACCGGAGCTTTAACCGCCAAGTTTCAAATTGATCCCAGAGGCGCCAGCCAATCGGATCGCGTACAGCCTGTGAGAAGCACACGAACGTGAGCACGCACAACGTGCCGCCCGAGGGGGCTGGAGAGCCGGCTCGCCCAAAGCGAGCTCCGCCCGTGTAGGGTGTTTGCAAGCATCCGCTTCCGGTTCCGACGCCGAATTGCCTGTCGCTGAGGGAGGCCTTCTTACCGGTGAGGTGGCACTGAGTTAAGTGGTCGCGAGCGCGGGATACGGGCGGGTTGCAGGACGCGGATCTGGAAGGTAGCCCGTGTTGACGGAGCCCATCTGTAGACGCCACGTTTACTAAGCACCTCTAGAGACTGTGGCACTGTGCCTGGCCCCAATCCGTATGGGATAGTTAGAGCTGGCACTGCCTTGCTGTTTTAAAGTAGATCTTTGTAAATGTGATTCTCGTTTCTAGGTTGAAAGCGGTGACACCTATTTTTGTAGAATTGTGACAAATGCAAACATGCCATTAGAGTACTTAAAAAATTAGATGTTGTTTTGTTTTTATTTTTGTTGTTTTGTTGCTTCTTCCCCCCACCCCTAATCTTAACACCTACTTGTGGGCTAGTCCCATAAATGAATGGTCCTTGGATGGAATGCTTTCTGAAACTTGGCCCTTTTTAAAATCCTTTTCGTTTCGTTTGATTCGTCCTTTTCAGGGCTTTGCCTGAAATGGACAACCGGATTCCTTATGATGACTACCCAGTGGTTTTCCTGCCTGCCTATGAAAATCCTCCAGCATGGATTCCTCCTCATGAGGTGGGAACGAACCATCTGCAATCCGGAATAAGAAGTACCAATCCCGAACATGAGATCTCTGAAAGATAAAGTAGCAAGGTTATGAAACTCAATGGAGAGTGAAGTCTTAGGTGAATTTTGAGCAACAGTGACCTACTGGCAACTTGTAGAATCACCCTGCCAGAACCCTTCACACTGGTGAATTCTGAAAATTCAGAACCTTAGTTTCCATCCTGTTAATAAGAAAGGAATAGGGATCTATAGGGTCCACTAGCATGTCCTGAGACTAAACAACCACTCCTCTGGACTGTGTTATCTGTTCTATGTAAACTAAGTCTGTGATGTTTCCATTTCCTGACATACGTCTGATTTATTAATATTCTAAAAGAAGGTAGATGTAACATCTAACACAGGGAATGAGATTTCTGAGATTACTGTATCTTGCAGAGAGTGTACCACCCAGACTACAACAATGAGTTGACCCAGTTTCTGCCCCGAATTGTCACACTGAAGAAGCCTCCTGGTGCTCAGGTAAACTTATAGAGGCTTTTATTCCAGTAGCATTTTGTCCATGCCAGAAGTTGCCCGTGGTTGGGGCATGGATATGGATTGGGAGGTAGGTGACCAGAATTTCCATAGAATCTCCTTTTCTTCTGACTACATAGATGTCCCTGTTCTTATGTCTGTGCTGAGTCTGCATCCTGTGTTCTTGTCTTTCAGTTGGGATTTAACATCCGAGGAGGAAAGGCCTCCCAGCTAGGCATCTTCATCTCCAAGGTCTGTGTGAATGTGTATGTATGATAGGCTGTATGGCTAGCTACTTTGTTATCATATTAAAATCCACTGGTGGCCCATCAGATAAAAAATGGATGACTTAGTATAGTCGTAGAATAGACATAATGGGAATTCAGCCTTTCCTTCTCAGAATTAGGCCCAGAGTGGTGGGGCATGTGGGCATGTCGGTACTCCAAGAACTCCAGACGCAGAAGCAGGAAGATTAGGAGTAGATAATAATCTATAAAGTCAGGTCAGACAGTGGTGGCATATGACGTTAGTCCCAGCACACAGGAGGCAGAGGGTAGGCGGATCTCTGTGAGTTCAGGGGCAGTATGGTCTACAGAGTGAGTTCCAGGGCAGCCAGGGCTACACAGAGAAACCCTGTCTTTGGAAAAAAAGAAAGAATCTATAAGAAAAAAAAACCAAACTGAGAACCAAATTTCATCTAGCAAACCACTTACTCTCCCTGTGGTATCACAAAAAATAACACATTTGAACAGCACTGAATTTCCCCTGCAATCTCCTGATTTACTCCATCACAACTACATGATACCCCTTCACCGACAGGTGATTCCAGACTCGGATGCACATCGAGCAGGACTTCAAGAAGGGGACCAAGTTCTAGCTGTGAATGATGTGGATTTCCAAGATATTGAACACAGCAAAGTAAGCATAGCGCATGGGCTGTAGTAATACAAGAAGCCATCTCAGGTAGGACAGGTTGGACCGGAATAGCCTAATCTGTAAGAAAGCATCTCTTTAAGGAAAATGTACCAGAAGAGAGCAGCTATTAGTGACCTAGATGGGACACAATCCATTGCTGTGTTATGTTTATGTCCTGGGTAATATCTCTTCATTTGTACAAGCTGCTGTGTTCCTTCCAGGCTGTTGAAATCCTGAAGACAGCCCGAGAAATCAGCATGCGTGTGCGATTCTTTCCCTACAGTAAGGCACTTTCTTTTTTCTTTTTCTTTTCTTACTTATATGGCAGGGCTCTAGGTAAGTAGAACTCTTTTAAATATGGATAACGGCAAGCCCCAGAAGTTGGGAACGGGAAGTTGGGAGCTCATCCTGAAAATAATGTGCTGTGTTCTTTTTTACCCCAGATTATCATCGCCAAAAAGAACGGACTGTGCACTAAAGACTTGCAGCCCACAGCCTTCCATGTGGAATCTGCCAGGACAAGCTGGCTAGGCCTCTGAGAAGTTGGAGAAGTCAGGAAATTCTACTCTCCACACCCTCCTGGTTTAGTGGATGGGGAGGATGGGGAGACAGCTTACCAGCTGTATTATGTATTAACTGTACTGTACTAGGAGTTCCCTAGTTTGCTAGGTGAGTTTCATTATGGAAGAGGAAAGAGATAGTGATGTCTAGATGTCTGTAGCCTGTGGGGGGAAGCCAACTAGAAAACAACTGGCATTTATCAGGTACCTTAGATTGGTCACTTACACGGCTTATCATTTTATTCGTAGAAATCAGTAGAAAAAAAAGAGTCTTGGGGACCTTCCATCTGATTTTCCTGGCCATGCCATCCAGTCCTTGTACATACCTTGGAGTCCCATACACTTAGGAGACTCCAAGGAGGCACTTCCTTCTCATCCCCGCCCCCACCCAAAGTAAAAACACAATACTGAATAAACATGGCTTGAGTGATACTGCTTGAATATAAAATGCCATTGAGGAAAACAAATACCACAATTCAACACTGGGAGAAACAGCAACATCATACTTGCTTTACAAACTCTATCTGACCAGAATACTTGGGATCTTAAAAAACACTAACCATAGAATACTCAAGGGATCCCTAGAGTCAAGGGCCCTGGGTAAAACTGCCCCTTCCCCAGGAGTGTTAGACTTTGTGCTTTAGGGGGTGATGTTAATATATTCTTTCCCACCTTATCTGATCTGGAACTAAAGCCCAGGAAGTGGCATAGATTGTTTCTTTTCACACTCAACAGTAGAAAAGTGGTTCCTAATTTCCCACTTGTTTGATTAGTGGTAACTACCAACTTCCTCCTTTTTCTAACCCTACCCCCAAATACTTTATATTATCCTAGATCCTTAGTGACTGAACATTACATACCTGCATAGATCATGACTCTGTCATCTCCATCGACTGACATTAAAATACCCAGTCATAATTGAAAGGTTATTTTCTCTGAAGGATGTGCTGCTACAATGAAAACCCAACATTTGACTTAAAAATCCTAGGGAGAGCCATCAGGATGACTCTCTGGACTGAAAGGACACCTTCTTCCAAGCCTGACAGTCTGAGTTTGATCTCCAGGACCCATGTGGTGGAAGGAGAGAACAGACTCCCAAAGTTGTCTGTTGTCCTTCACCTGCAGGGTGTGGCAAGCAAACACAAACAAGAAGAATCCTGGGAAGCTGAGCTGAATCTCTTAATTCCTTCTGGAAAGGGATTCTTTTGGTTTGAGGGACAACCTAGGAATCTACCTTATTTGTTTATTACGTATTTTGTTTTGTTTGAGACAGGGTTTCTCTGTGTAATCTTGGCTGTTTTGGAACTCACTCTATAGACCAGGCTGACCTTGAACTCACAGAGATCGCTTGCCTCTGCCTCTTGAGTGCTAGGATCAAAGTATTTACACTACTCCCACCCCCACCCAGGCTGGAATCTACCTCTTTAAATAAGCAAGACAAATTTTCAAATGGATGAAATGCAGAAACTGGCTCTGCCCATGAATCCTACCCCAGCTGTACTAAAGCCATTGCTAGAGACCCAGTTCCATTGCATTGTTGGCGCTGGACCTTCTGAGCAAAGCTGGAGGTAAAATTAGCTCAAATCTTCCTAGGAATTCTATCCTCTTATTTGCTCTGCTGACCCCCAGTGGCCATCAGAGAAAGAAAAGCTTGGATATTTCCACAAAACTAATAGCTGTGTCTGCTGAACGTTAAAGTCAAGACTATTTTTATGGTTATTAAGTTTTCATTAATTTTTTTTCCTGAGGTAGGTTCTTGGTACATACTTCAAGCTGGCCTTGGACCTGTGAAGTTCAGAGGATACAGGTGTATATCACTGCACCCAGCTGTAGGTAGCAGAATTTGTTTTATTTCTTGTTATTGTTTGTGTGTGAAGGTCCAAAGTTGACATTGGCCATCTTTCTTCAGTCACTTTTCATCTTATTTTTGAAGACTATATCTGTCATTGAACCTGAATCTTTTATTTGGCCAGATTGTCTGGCAAGGAGGCCCCAGGGTGCCTCCTCTCTCTACCTCCCCAGTGCTGGGATTACAGGTGTGTGCTGCCACATCCCATAATTCCTTTTTTTAAAAAAAAAAAAAAACAGAATCTCTAATTTTTAGCTCTGGCTCTTCCTAGAACTTGCCATGTAGACCATGCCAGCCTTGAACTCTCAGACATCTGCCTGCTGGTGCTGCTGAGATTAAAGGTATGTGTCAGCATGACAGGCATCCAGCATTTTAAGTGCACTATGGGATTCAAACTCATGTCCTCATGTTTGTGCAACAAGGATTTTACTAATGTTGACATCTCTGTAGTTGAGATTTTCCCTTATCATTATTTATTAATTCAATAGTCATTCTATTAGCATCATTTAAAAGTTTTACACCCCATATGAGGTCCAAGGAACATTGCAGAAAAAGTGCAAGGGTGGAAATAATAGAGCCAGAGGATAGAGAGGAGAACTAGCTTTCATCTTCTCAATACGACAGCCATTGTAGTCACAAATACACCAAGCTGTGGTCACCCGCACAAGACCTTGGAGATTCATAATGATGAGCTAGGAAGAGGCCCATAGAAGTTTCTTGTAAAGATCTTGCTCTAGGAAAGCAATTATCAACCTGTGGGTCAAGAACCCTTTGGGGAGGCCTAACAATCTTTTCTTCCTCCTAAACCCTCCCATATATCCCTCCTTGTCTTCTTTCAGATTTGTGGCCTTTTATATATTTGATTAATTTCTTTCATTGTCTGTTATTAAATGTGTGTCTATATTTTTAGGGTACCTCATTCAATATGATCTTTTCTAGTTCCATCCATTTACCTGCAGTGTATTTGATTTGATTTTTCTTTACAGCTGACTAATACTGCATAGTGTATATGTTTCATTATCATTCCTCAATTGAGGGTATTTAGGTAATCTCCATATCCTAGCTACTGTGAATACAACAGCAGTGAGCATGGTTGAGCAAGTATCTTCAGAGTAGGATGTCAAGTCCTTTGAGCATATGCCAAGAAGCAGCATAGCTGGGTCACATGATTGGTTTATTTTTAGCCTCTTGAGAATTCTCCATATTAATTTCCAGAGTAGCTGCATCAGTTTGCAGTCCTACCAACAGGGAATGAGAGTTCCCTTTTCCCTGCCCTCCAACATTTGCTGACTGTTGGTCTTTGCCATTTTGACTGGGGTAAGGTGAAATAATCAACGTAGTTTTGATTTGCATTTCCCTAGTTATTAGGGACAATGAACATTTTGAGCTATTTCTTAGCCGTATTTTTTTACTTTTCAGCATTCCCTTCTTCAGCTCCCAGGCCCATTTTTTTGAATGAGTCATTTTTGTTTGTTTGTTTTGATTGATTGATTGGATTTTTTGTTTTGTTTTACTTCTTTTTAGTTTTTTGTATATTCTGCATATTAGTTCTCTGTCAGATGTATAGCTGGCAATGATTGTCTTTCATTATGAGTATGTTCACACAGTTAATTGTTGTTTAAGCTGTACAGGAGCTTTTTAGTTCTATGAAATCCCACTTGACAATTGTTGGCCTTAGTTCTTGAATAAATGGAATCTTATTCAGGAAGTCTTTTTCTATACCTACATCATGTAGTGTACTGTTTCATGTTGAGGTCTTTGATCCATTTGGGGTTAGTTTTTATATGAGGTGAGAGATATGAGTCTAATTTCATTCTCCTGCATGCAGACATCCAGTTTTCCCAGCACCATTTGTTGAAGATGCTTTCTTTTATACTAGGTATGTTTTTTAGCATCGTACATAAACAAATTTTAATAAAACTGGAGCAAAAATTATACTAGCCTTTGAAGTTATCCTAGCTATTTTAGAACTGCATCCTGTATAAATAGATGTCTTTTAGTCATCAATGAAGATAGGGTGCACTGTGCCACCCAGTAGCTGTGAGATGTAGTAAAAGAAGCTGACTACACTTCTAGGAGCTGTTTTATTCTTAAGTCCAGGTGTTAGGAAAGTGTTAAAACCAGGCCAGGCAGGGTGGTGCACACCTTTGATTCCAGCACTGCAGAGGCAGAGGCAGGAGGATCTCTATGAGTTCCAGGACAGCCAGGAGTACATAGAGCAGTGGTTTTCAACCACTGCACTCATTTAATATAGTTCTTCATGTTGTGATGACCCCCAACCATGAAATTTTTTGTCACTACTTCATAACAGTTTATTACTGTTATGAATTGTAATATAAATATATGTGGTTTTCGATAGTCTTAGGTAACCCCTATGAAAGGGCCTTTGCAACCCCAAAGGGTTTATGACCCACAGGTTGAGAACCACTGTCTCAAAAACCAATAAAATACCAGAACCCTAGGGGTGGAAGAGAATAGCTGCTATGGAAAGGCAAATACAGTGTCTGGCAAGTTAGGCAGAGATGACTTAAACTATGGAAAGGGAAGTGGGTTTTGATGCCTGAATTCTGGACGTTCTCAAATCAGTTTTCAGCCCCTAGAGTTTAAAGATGTTAGTAGAGGAACCTCTTCTAGTAAAAATGAGTAATTCTGACCCTATGGGCTTCACTTAAACAAAGGAGGTACTTTTGGCTAAAGTTAGTTCTGTTTTCTATCACCACTTAAGCAGAAAAATGGGCCTGGCTTTTAACTGTGAGTAAAACTTGCTTCTCTGCTTTCACACTCCCTACCCTAGGAAAGCTAAGAAAGCTGCAGTCGAGGTGAAGCCATTTATGGAAGGAAGGGCAGAAACTACTAGACTAGCTATCTTAGTATATGGATAGTGAATTAAAAGCAATTTTTTAAAGGTTCAGAGGCTAAGATGATTTTGTGCTTTCAGGCTGCATGATGGGGGTGGTGGATCAACTTTGCCTCTTCGCCATCATAGAGTGATCTAGGGTTATCTAAAAGTAAGTGGTAGTGGGGAACTAGAGGCCTTGCAAAAGATATGTCATAAAGATAAATGGGTGTTCTGTTTCTCACACTGCAACTGGTTTGGGCACTCGTCCCAATAAACATCACATTGAGGTCCCCAAATTCTTCTTCACCCTTTTCTGCAGAGATTTGCTTAGGCAAAGGAAAATAAGTAAAGGGGCCAGATAATGAAATGGATGAGGTTAAATCCTTTTTACATATAATGATGCTTGCCTAGGGCCAGGAATACTGGAAGCCTTGAACCCATGACTTTTCTGATCCAACACTGGTTTCTGCTGCCCCAAGTAAACAGCACAGTAGGCCCTTCATGTGAGGATTAAACTTTAGGTGTGTGGACCAACAAACCTTACCATTTGTTGGTCAGATCAGCCATGTTACACACCATATTGATGTTATCACCTCTTTGTCTCGGTACATGTAGTACATACTTGTCTCCAAAAGGCCAGAGTCTCTAAGACTCCCTTCCCCTGCCAGTATACACCCTAGCTGTTCAACAAAAAGGACTCACTTAGAAGTAGCCTCCCCATCTCATTCCATACTATTCACAGCTTCTTATCTCAAGCCCATCTTAGGCAGACCAGGAATGCATGTCTGGCTTTACACAGAGGTTGGTATTTGTGTTTCCTATTGGTCTCCAGGCCATGGCCTCTGGCCTCATTCCAGGGATCTTGGCCTCACCTTAGAAGGACCAAAAACACCGTGAACTGAGCAGGCAGAAATACTGTAACAATGGTTTTCTGTACTTGAACCTGTACCACCTGACATCACACCATGCTCTCCTCAAGTAGTAACTGGTAACAGTTGTCATAATAGCCAAGTCTGGGAGTGGCTACACCCTTTTGGCTTCCTCTCTGGGATTCTTTAGCAGTACTTTACAGGTACTGCTAGGCTAAAAGTAAGTGATCAGGTAGGGACCAGGATAGCTGAGGCCAGAGAGAAAAAGCAAATGATTTGTCAGAGGGACCACATAGGGACAAAGTACTTAACACAAGATACCTAATCAAGGAACCAAGTAAATAATTAAGGGTGGGGGAGGAGTAAAGGTGCCTGAAGAAGAAAGTTCATTCTCTGTAGTTCCAGTACTCTCTGAGAGGAAAAAAATAATAGCACATTGATCACCAGCTATGTCTGGACAAATCGATTTATTAGAGTGTTGCAGTGGGGGCTTCCACACAGAATTATCAGAGAGAGGCTATCGGCTCTTCTTATTAACTCTGTCTGCTGTTGGAGCTTTCTAGCTCTGTGTCTGGCTGTTCTGCTGCATATACTCTTCAATGACTATGTCCTCCGAGCTTGCAGGAGCAGCAAAGGGGAATGGAGAGTTATCAAACCCCTTCCCGGGCTTCCTCCACATTCTTGATTCTAGAGAGGTAATCCCTTCCCTGCTTCTCAGCCTTCCCCTCCATGCCCCATGGGGAGGGCTTGGTTCCCTTCTGAATCTGTCTAGACAATGGTGCCAAGGAGCAAGGAGCATTAGAAGGGAAACAAGGGAGGATGGGGCAGAGGGAAAGGATTAAAAGAAGATGAAGATGGTGTGGAAAGGGGGAACCCCAAGTCACAGAGTAGGGACAACTAACCCAGTTTTGCCAGGGAGTGAGGGATTATAAGGACAACGTAACAACAGAATGGGTTTTTGGAGGGAAGAGAAGAAGGAAAGAAAAGAAGAGGGATGAGGGGGAAAAAGAATTCCAAGAGCAGCAGGTGAAGGGCAGGGAGGCCAGGAAAAGGGGCTGTGGAAAGCACCAGACTGACATGAAGCTAAACTATGTTTCTGGTGCACAGTTGTAAAAGCAACACTTTGGGGAATCTTTAAAAAATTCCATCCTAAAACAGAGCAATAGGCAAGGGGGAGGGGTAGAGCTTCCAAGCCTCATTCTGACTTACTTGGTAGCCACTGTGGCACGCATGGAGACGGATGGAAAATAGACCTGAAGCTTAGAAGTGACTGTGCAGATGCTTGATTTTTTTCATCCTTCTCCCTCCTTTTTTCCCCTAGGCCTTCCCCTCTGCTATATGTCCCCTGAAAAGCTAGGCATCCAACCTGCCTATTGTCATTCCATCTCAAGCTACTCTTTACTGAGAACTGTTTAACCCCTAACCCACAGGATAATAGTTCCTGGGAGCCTCACCTGCTCTCGTGCCATGAGATGGCTTTGGATGGATCAAGATCAGTGGCAGCTCCACACCAACATCACTGTAAGCATCCCAAAGTGGAGTTACTGATGTCCTTAAAGGACTCAATCACCAACCTCCTTTCAGTTTTCCCAATCCTCTGAGGCCCTCAGATTCTTCTGAGGGTACCTTTAGTCTCCTTATGCCCTCTTCCCCCCTGTCCTGCCTTGATCCTCTCACCCTAGCTTCTCACCTTGCTGGCAGACCTCCTAGAATGCTGTGAATAAAATGATACCCCAGATTAGTAGCTAAACATGGTGAGGAGTCAACCCAGTTTTGCTGGGGATAAGGTATCATAAGGCCAACTTAGTAATAGAATAGGACTCTAGCAGGGAAAGTGACTTGTGAACTTAGTCTGGAAAAAGGAATACTTTGAATGGGTCAATCCAACAGGGGGAAAACAAATGACAAACTCTTGGCTCCCAGCCCCTGCCCAAACCAACTGGAAAGCCTCACTTACCCCCCATAGGACACCATCAGGTTGACTCTAACTTTGTAGGACACCAGGATCCCCAGAAGCTCCTTGTTCATTCCAGGTCGAAGACTAGATATTATAGTATCAATTTGGGGTGTTAGGAGTATAATGGAATTTACCTCCTCCAAAATCCTTCCCATGCTTTCCTATTACCATGCCCTATTGCCTTTGTCTTTTCCCAAAAGATATCCCAGGCTGTAATTGTTTCTACCCAATTGAGGTGACATTTTTCTTCCTAAAATTCCATTTGATCATGTTATTGTCTGTTCAAGGACCTAATTTGTTGAACACAACTACTCTGCTGATTTTTAGGAGCCAAAGTAATCTAGCCTCATCTACTTCTCTCTTTTCTGCCCTGACTCCCAAACACCTAGAAAACAGCCTATGTAGACCTGTCTTCCCATCGCGCTCCTCAACATGTCATGTAGGATTCCTACCTTCTAGCTTCTTCCCATGCCATGTTCCCAGTCTGAAATATTCCTTTCTTCTACTATTGTTATCCAGCTTTTACACATTTTTTTCAAGATCTAGATCATTCTATCTCCTTTAAGAATCCCTTGCCAGCTATGTTGGCTTTTTTTTGTTGTTTTTTCGAGACAGGGTTTCTCTGTGTAGTCCTGGCTGTCCTGGAACTCACTCTATAGACTAGGCTGGCCTCGAACTCAGAAATCCACCTGCCTCTGCCTCCCAAGTGCTGGGTTTAAAGGTGTGCGCCCCCACTGCCCGGCAGCTATGTTGGCTTTTACCTTCTATTGGATTTATAATATAAACCACAAGTACTAACACTTAACTGTTGGATTACATTTGCATTCCTCATCCAGCTCATATATTGACTGAAGGAAAGATTGTCTTAAATTTCTTTGTCTATCCCCATCGTTTTGCATAGGAATGAGCACTTAGTAGGTGCTCAATAGAAACCTGCTGATTGAAAGATAAGATACTGAAAGCTGGTCGGGCGGCGGTGGTGGCGCACACCTTTAATCCCAGCACTTGGAGGCAGAGGCAGGCAGATTTCTGAGTTCGAGGCCAGCCTGGTCTACAGAGTGAGTTCCAGGACAGCCAGGGCTACACAGAGAAACTCTGTCTCAAAAAAACCAAAAAAAAAAAATACTGAAAGCTGGAAGAATCTTAGGGTAGTCTTTTGGTTGCTTTGGGGTGCTGATCCTCTTTGTTCAAAATAATGCTATTTGGATCGTTTCTAAGGCTATTTCTATGAATAACAACCTGTCGATACTTGATTCATCAGGCACGGGGAGAATTGGTCATTTATGATTGTAGATGGTTTTGGTGAGAAACACATTTAATGCTAATCTGAAGGTATAGAGCTAAACAAATGCCATTGAAGAATTCTATCAATTCCTGTCATATAATTGTCATTACATATCCTCCTTTTCCACCATCTTTCATCGCCTAACCTTCTACTCTATTCTACCTTCTCTAGATAGTAACTATTGTAGAGATGACAGTGTTTAGAGCCAGTTGGCATGTAACAGAATCCTGTTTGCCACATACTTATGCAACCTTGAATAAATCCCTTGCCTTTGAGCCTCAGCGTCCTTATGTGTAAAATTGAATAACATATCTGGCCAGGATTGGGGGCCCTGAGTTCATCCTCTGCACTTTAGAAACAACAACAAACCCAACCACCTGGCCAGTGTACTTTAATGGTATTCTTTTTTTCTTTTTCTATTTTTTTTTCTTCAAGACAGGGTTTCCTGGTGTAGCCCTGGCTGTACTGAAACTAGATATATAGACCATATAGACTCACAGAGATCTACCTGCCTCTGCCTCTGCCTCCCAAGTGCTGGGATTAAAGGTGTGTGCCACCACTACCCAGCGATACTCTTAGGAATATAGTAATAGATGTAAGGCCTGTGTGAATTATGCCTTATTTTTAATTTTTTATTATTATTGTATTTTTGTTTATCCATTTTGTGCCTCTGTACATATATGGAGGTTGGGGTGCCATAGTGAACATGTGGAGATCAGAGAACAACAAGAATTGGTTCTTTCCTTCCCTGTATGGGTTCTGAGGAATCAGACTCAAGCAATCAGCTTACCAGCAGGTGCCTTTACTTGTTGAGGCATCATGCCAGCCCTGTTCGTATTATTTTTTGACAGGGTCTTGCTGCATAGCCTAGGCAAGTCTCAAAGTTGTGATTCTCCTGCCTCAGTACTGACCACTAAGTGCTAGGATTACAGGTGTGCACCCCCATCCCTGGTTTGAACTGTGAAATTTTATATAACAGAGGTTTTCAGCTCTCTGCAGTTTCCTTTCTCATTACCTAAGATCTAAGCTTACCATTGGTCCCATAGGCATTAATTTAACTTGAGCCTGGCTCTGAGGCTTGTGAGCATACCGAACATGGGCTGAGGAACATTTTAAAAGACAAATAGACTTGACTGAAGATGAAACCACAGAGCCATGCATATAGCATGTGGCTTAGGAGTAGGAAGTAGAAATTCTAAATTACATATGAGCTTACATTGTGCTAGAGGCCAGATTAGTGTCTTCATGCTTGAGTTTGCCATCCAGTGCCAGGCCCTGCTTCTGACAGTTGGCAGCCAGGAGTGGGGTTACTGCAAAGGTCTGGGAGAAGCTGGAGTTAGCAGCTACTGTCTCTCTTTGAAAGAGAATAAGAGAAGAACTTAGGCTATGCTTGCCAACTAAATGTACATTTACTCCCAAGAGTATCTTGTATAGTCTCCGGAACCAGTGGAAAATATAGAGAGAAGTGGCATATCTATGGAGAATGGGAAGATTAGCTTTGATGGGAAAGCTCTGTCTTAGCACTGTGATGGACTTCAGATGAGTCATGGCCCCACCCATAGTTCTCCTGAGAGTCCCTCCCCTTTTATGCTTCAGCCCTCACCTTGACATTCCTCATTTCTAGGTTATCCTTGCTTATTTCTTTTTTTCCAAAAGAAATAGCAAGGATCCCTTCTCTGTCTGTTGACCTTCTTCCCACCATCTAACCCCTTTGACTTTCTCCCCAGCCCCAGCCCCAGCCCCAGCCCCAGCCCCAGCCCCAGCCCCAGCCCCAGCTCACGTGAACTCCTGAATGAACACAGTCTTCGTGTACTTGTCTAGTGAATACAGGACAACGTCTGTGATCTGGACAACTGAAAAAGTCAGCGAAAGTAAATGACCAATCAGTCAGTTGCTCACATGGCCCCAGCTTACTGCTCTTTGATGTGATATTGTGTGGTAAGATGTGACCACATATTTTGATAGGCCAGTTTTGGAAGGAAAACTCAGATAAATATTAATGGGTAAGAAGTACAGTTTCATTTTAGAATCTGTGGTTTGTGGGCCAGATGCAGAGCAAGCTCACCTGCAATCTTGATTCTTCTGATGACCTTGCTGGTATAGTTGTTGATAGAAACATGTACAGAAATAGCTTCTCCATGGTAATGAACCTGAAGCAGGAGAAGCTTGTGACAAGGTTGGAGGGAGAACACCCAGACTTAAATCTAAAACTCCCATTTCCTTAAAATGGTTGTTGCCCTGGCTCCTGGCTCTGCCTAACCAAGTTAAGACATCAGTAAAAAGGGGTTCTAAGGTAGGGACTAGGATACAGGGGTGGGGGGAGTGCCACCGACCTCCCTGTCCATCCAGGCCTGGAGTTGTAGGGGCTGAGATGACAGAAAGAAGCTGCGAGTGGTCTGTGCCCAGGGACCAGGGCCTGGTTCCAGGGCTGAGAACTGCACTTTCCGTACCACCAGCTGCACAGAATCACTGAGTAAAGTCCAAAGGATAAACTAGAGCATCTTATTCCGGAACCACAGACTATCCCACATTACCCTTAAAGCTCTGTGTTTCCTTGGGGGTGGGGGTGGGAAAAGGCTCCCCTCAGAAAACCCCCTTTGCAGCCTTGATATTCTATAGACCAAGGTGTTGCAAATTGTCCCATTGGCTAAATCTGTCCTCTTTCTTGTTTGTCTGTGGCCTGTAATCTAAGAATGTTGAATACAGTTGTAAATGGTTAAAATGAATCAAAAGGCTATATTCTATGGCACACCGATATTATATAAAGTCCCAACTTCAGTGTTCATGAATTCAGTTTTGTTAGAACACATCAACATTTTTTTTTCATTTCTATAGTGTCAGTGACTGCTCCAGCACTACAATGACAACAAAGTTATATAGTTTCAGTGAGATTTGATAGCCTACAAAATGTAAGTATGTGTCATTTGGCTGCCAACATGAATGAAGAAAGACAAGTGAAATCCTAGGGACTCAGAACATCCAAGTTGGTAGCAGTGGTGCTATGGTGACTAGATCTGTTTCTGCCCTAAGAGAAGGCTCTGTGGTAAAGGCTTCAGGCAGGTATTTGGGGAAATCAAAGAATACCTCTTAGAGATTTTCTCTTCCAGATTTTCTGCACAGAAACTCTTCACTTCAAAGTCAACCCCACAGGGCTGTAAAAAATCAGGGACAAAGAGAATATATTTCTAATTCCCTCCCTCCCTTGTGGGACTACATGAAAATGTTTCTGTCCATTTCTCCAATCTTGTCCATTTGTCTTTTTTCCTAGGCCCTGTTGTAATTACATGTCTATCTGCTATTGTTCAGATCTAAAATGTAGCTTAGATGGGTATGGATCAAAGGCTTGGCCCCAGCTTATGTTTCTTTTCTTTTTGCGACAGAGTCTCATTGTGTAGCCCTGGCTATCCTGGAAGCCACTATATTGACCAGGTTGGCTTCAAGTTCAACAGAGATCTGCCTGCGTCTGCCTCCTAAGTGCTGAGATTAAAAATACGTACTGTCACATTCAGCCTAGCCAATGCTTCTATTGGGGAGTGGTAGAAAATGTGAGTTGAGACCTCTTAAGAGTATTTGAGGAAGTTTGGTTTTTGGAGATGTACCCTTCTTGACATTCTGTTTTTTCCCTGTGATCAAACCTCTTCTGCCGTGTGCTCCCATAATGAGCCCAAACCAACCGAGTTGTGTAGACTGAACCATGAGAAAAAAGAAAGACAAGAAAAAGTCTTCTCTCCTTTTGAGTTGATTAGGTCATTGGTGGAAAGGTCATTAGCTAATGGTCTTCCTTACCTTTCCTGAATCTTCAGGCCCAGGCTGCAGTGTTACTGAACAGGGCAGGTTAGCAACCATCTAGGAAATCAGAAGGAGCTCAGAAAAATAGGGACAACTTTCTGTTCTCCTTTTCTCTTAATCATCTCTGGAAATTTTGCCCAAGCCTTGAGATTAGTACCTGAAGTGTAAAAGGATAGGCATTGGCTCCAAGCTTGTGCAGAAGCCGCTCCTGTAAGGCTGTGAGGGGTGCCTGGATGCTGGTGGGTTCAGCTGGAGCCACTTGCTTGGTCTGTACATAGAGATCTTTGCGAAAGGTCAGACCAATCACATCCAAGTCATCACGGCCATATCGAAAAGCACATGTCAACCTGACAAACACTGCCAGCAAAGAAAGAAGAGAGTGACTTGCCAAACCAGTGGCAAAGGGAATCTTAAATGGGGGATAGGAAGACCCAGAGAGGCAAGCTTATATAATCCCAGAAGTATGATCACAAAGAAAAAGGATCGATACATTTAATTGCAATAAAACATTAAATTTCTCTGTGTTACAAGTTTCACAAAGGAAAAAAATGAAATTCAGAGTTAAAATATTTGAAACACATATAGCAGTTTAGCATTTGGAATGTTGGGAGGCTGAGGAGATGGTGGAGAGCAATGGGACAAGCTTTCAATTCCAACACTGCTAGGTGGAGACAGGTGGATCCCTGAGGCTCACTGGCCACCCAGTCTGGCCTAATCAGTGAGCTCCAGAACAGTGAGAGATCCACTCTCAAAAAACACCCAAGATTGACCTCTGCCTCCAAATGTACCTGCATATACATGAACAAAATAACTGTTACCAATCAGTAAGACAGACAGACAGACACACACACACACACACACACACACACACACACACACACACCAATCTAAAAGTGTGCCAAAACTTAGGTAGATTCTTAGCAGAAGCACATGTAGAATGGCCAATGATTTTTGTAGTCTCAGTAGTAATCAGATACATTCAAATTAAAGCCATGGTGGAACAACATCTCACACAGATCATACTCTCAAAAATGTTGAAGCCAGACATTAAGTGTTCGTGATGACGTGGCTCAATTGGAGTTCAAATGTACGGCTGGTGGGAGCTACGGTCATATAACCACAGACTGACTCGTTTCTCATCTTCATTTATGAGTAGCGTTAAGATTCTTTATTAGAGACGCCTTATGTAACATCCATCATTTTTTCCCAGTTCACCGTCTGCCACCTAAGTATACAACATTCCTCCCCTCTGGAGGGCCCAGCAATAAGGTCCAGTTTTGCATACAGAAAATTGAACGTGCTAGTCATTTGGACTTGGATTTGCCAGGCTAATCAATGGTGAGAAAGTACATTTCTTTTCCTAATATAGTATCTAGTCTTGGGTATTTTGGTATAGCAGCATTAGTGGACTAAGAAATGTATTAATAATTGAATAATTAAATCTCAAAAAAATCCTAGCACCAGAATTAAATGTGCACTGTTACATTTATATACAGATTAAAACTGTGTATAACAATATAAAGTTGTTTGTAGATACATGAATGTGAAATATAAGTATACAAGCATCATGGAACAAAAAAACACTAAATCTTTAATAGTGGTTGCCTGGGTAGAAGAAAAGACAAGGATAAGGGAGAGAGATTCTAAAAGAAGGACACCAGAAGCTTCAGGTTCTATCCCTCTTTTCTTTTTTTTTTTGTTTTCTTTTTTGTGTGGGGGGGTATTTTTTTGTTTTGTTTTTTGTTTGTTTTTCGAGACAGGGTTTCTCTGTGTAGCCCTGGCTGTTCTGGAACTCACTCTGTAAACCAGGCTGGCCTCGAACTCAGAAATCCGCCTGCCTCTGCCTCCCAAGTGCTGGAATTAAAGGCGTGTTTCACCACCGCCCGGCTCTATCCTTCTTTTCAAAGCTAGGTGGTAAATACATTTTTTATGCCTGAAATAGTTAATAGTTTAAAAGAGTTAATAAGAATTAGGGTCAGGTACCAGCAAGATAGCTCAGTGGGTAAAAGTGCTTGTTGCATAAGCTGGATGACTTTATTTCAATCACTGGAAGCTACAAAAACCTCGAAGTTGTGGCTTGCATCTGTAATCCCTGTATTCATAAGGTGAGATGGGAGGCAGAGGCAGAATTGGCCAGAAATCCACTAGTCAGCTCGACAAAGTAGCAGAAGTGAGAGAGGTCCTGCCTCTATAAGAGAAGAGAACTGACATCCTAAAGTCATTCTCTGACCTCTACTCACACCACACACACACACACACACACACACACACACACACACACACACACACTGCTCACACACAATGCATTGACACATATACTATTGTACACATGTGTGTACATACAAACTCATAATATTAACAACAAAATTTCAAAAAGGATTTAGGGTCAGGATACCTGGGCTTTAAAAGGACTTACACAAATCCTTTGGCTTCCCTGGGCCTGTTGGTATACTTGTCAAAAGTGGGACAGGGGTTGGGGAGATGACTCAGTGGGTAAGAGCACTTGCTGTCCAAGCATGAAGCCAGAGTTAGAATCTGTAGAACCTACATAAAAAGCTGGGCATGGCTGCATGTGCTTGTAATCCCAGCACTAGGGTGAAAAGACAATCAGATTCCAGAAGCTCACTGGCCATCCTGCCTAGGTAAAATGGCGGGCTTATTTCACTGAGAGACCCTCATTTCATAAGGTGGAGAGTTATAAAGAAAAAGACATTTGGAGGTCTCCTCTAGCCTCAGCATCTGCACAGGCATGCACAACTGCACACTCACATGCGTGTACTACCACCACATACTTATAACATATATAGCCTCAATACACAAATAGCACTTCACTGTGAGCTGTAACTATATTATTTATACTACAGAATTCCTTAAGTAAAGAAAAAGTTGCCGGGCAATGGTGGCGCACGCCTTTAATCCCAGCACTTGGGAGGCAGAGGCAGGTGGATTTCTGAGTTCGAGAGTTCGAGGTTAGCCTGGTCTACAGAGTGAGTTCCAGGACAGCCAGGACTACACAGAGAAACTCTGTCTCGAAAGACAAACAAACAAACAAACAAAAAACTTAAACAATGATTCCTTTCCATTTGTGTATTTATTTATGTATTTATTTCTTTTAATACTGGGTATAATGTAGCCTGGGATGGTCTTAAATTCCTGAGCCACCATGCCTGACTTATGCAGTGATGAAGATTAAACCCAAGACTTTATGCGTGTTAGATACAAACATTCTGTCAGCTAAGCTACTTTCCCAGCCAGGTTCAGAATTTCAACTCAAGCAGGTCTAGACTCAAAAGCCTAGACTCATTGGGACCAAATTTCACTCAGAGGAGGGTTATAAAGAGTTAATATATAAAAAATTCTTTTGATGCCTAATGTGGTATTTAACTATAATCCTGGCACCTGGGAGGTGGAGCAGGAGGCCATGTCAAATCTTAGCTACAAACAGAGTTTAAGTGAGACCCTGTCTTTAACACACAAACAAAAAGAATTTTCTTTGGAGACATACATAAACATGAATGAATGAATGATTGAATGATTGATGATGATGATAGAAATCTTGCAAAAAAACAGTTATAATGGAACTCATACTTTGCAGCTGTTACCTAAGATTAGGGGTAGAGAGAAAGCTCTCAGAATATACAAATGAAGTGTGGGATGGGGTAAGCAGGGTTACTCCAAAACTAAAGTGACAGGGATGGAATCAAGGAGATATGAAGAACAGAGATGGGTAACTTTTAAGTCTATTGGGGGGCCTTAAAACAGAGAACTTCCAACAGCCATGCCTGAATAGAAAGTAACTTATTACATATGTTGCACAAGATCCATAACTGCCCCATACACGGAAAAAGAAACCAGACTAAAGTAGAAGAAGAGTAGTTAGGAAGAAGAAGGAAATACTCAGGAACAAAAAAGGGTAATGGGGGAGGAATATGATCACAGTATTATATATATACAATACAATACATTATATATACAATACATTTATATATGTATACTAGTACATATGAAAGTGCCATTTTTTTCAAGTTTCAGGCGTGGTATCTTTAATCCCAGCATATAAAAGGCAAAAGCTGCTGGTTCTCTATGAGTTTTAGGTCAGCTTGGTCTATGTATCAAGTTCCAGGTCAGCTGGGTGCTGGCTATAGAATAGAATAGGACCTTGTCATTAAGTAAATAAAATAAAAATTAAAAAAGATCAAAGCTTGGCATTGTAACATATGCTTGTGATCCCAGTGCTTTGGAGGAAGTAGTCTGGGCTCTGGGCTCTACAGTGAGAATATGTCCCAACAAAGCAAAAATCAATGTATATATTTATTTAAAATTAGGAATGAGGAAAATGAATTATATTTAAAGATATAACAAAGGTTAAAATTAATGATAGTACTAATGTTTTTATAAGGTCTGGAGCAATGAGCAACACATTTAGCTGGACATGTTGGCATATTAATTAGTACACGCTCTTATTCCAGCACTTGGGCGACTGAGGCAGAATGATCATGAGTTTGGGGCAGCATAGATTTTGGGACAGCTTTGGTTTCATAATAAGACCTTATCTCATTAATGGAAAAAAATAAAGAACAAAAACTGTTAGAAACTTTTTGGGGAACATTAGGTAATAAGTATAACTGTCAGGAAATTCAGCCTAAAAGCTAATTGGATCCACTCAAGGGGTTAGGGGGATGCCTTACGAAGTTTTTGTAACAGCAAAATATTGAAAACAAAGGAAATCTCCAATGAGTAGATTATAAGTGCAATTATGGTAAGTGGAGCCTCATAGGTTATGGATTCTTAAATGTTAACACAGGCTTAAAAGAACATTATACAATATTTATGGTATAACATTTAAATAAGAGAGGGATTTTTTTTGCACAAAAAATGTAAGTAAATGAAAGCTGAAATGAGGTTAGGAGTAATAGGATTATAATCCCTTCATCTGTGATGGCCTTGAACTCACAGAGATCCGGCTGCCTCTGCTTCCCACGAGAACAGCCCCTCCTGAAATGCTGGGCTTCACACTACCCAGAGCTAGCCCTGGAAACCAGCCCTGCAAGACAACACATTCTATTTCCTTGCCTTCTCAGTGGTTTGCTTTGTTTTCTCTGCTCTTGGCAGTCAGAAGAAGGCTATTTCCTAGTGGAGGAAAGAGCCGATGCTAAACTGCTGAGGTCAGGTCAGAGGTCAGGCAGGACTGATGGACTTTGCCCTTTCCACTGCCTGTGTTTGGTACTAACAGCAAGGTATGCCAGGAACTGTTTATCTGGTTGACAACCTCGCCTCAAAGGCCATTAGACCTTTTCCTGTCTCATCACTATCTGTTCTATTTGTCTCCTTACCCTGCCTTCTTCTGACTGCTATTTTTGGTGGCAGTGTGGCAATTACAGGGATTAAGCCTATGTTTTTTTTAGTTGTTTTTTTAATTTTAACTTTATTATTTTTTTTTATTTTTGAGACGGGTCTCTCGATGAAGTTCTGGCTGGCCTGGAATTTACTATGTAGACCTGACTGATCTCAAGCTCACAGAATCTCATGCATGCTAGGTAAGCGCCCCACCACTTGTCTTTCTTTGTACTTTCTTTTTTTATCTTATTGTTTTTGTTTTTTGTTTGTTTGTTTGTTTGTTTTTCGAGACAGGGATTCTCTGTGTAGCCTGGGCTGTCCTGGAACTCACTCTGGCTGGCCTCGAACTCAGAAATCCACCTGCCTCTGCCTCCCAAGTGCAGGGATTAAAGGCATGCGCCACCACCGCCCGGCTTCTTTGTACTTTCTTATTTTGAGGCAAGATCTCACTAAATTTGCCCAGTTTGTGATCCTTCTGCCTGAGCCCCTCTTGCCCAGGTAAATGGGATTACAGGGCTATATTACCAGGCCTGGCAGATTGCTTTTATTGTCTTCTAAAAGTCAACATCTAATCTAAATTTTTCCATTGTGTCTTAATTATATAAAGTATATACATACAAATTTATGAGTATCAAAAGTATAATAAAAAAGAAAATTCAAAGTTCTAGCACAGTATCATATTCCAGAGATAAGTGCCATGTTATCTGCTGGGCTGCCTTCCAAATTGTTTTGTTTCTATAACTGAACACAAGGTTATCTTAGGTATGTATAGCTGTTTGCTCATTTCTATTCTGAAATTAAACATTTGAAAAAACTTTTGTGACTACTGTTTATTCACATGCAGTTGCAAGGAATAACACACAGAGTTAGATAACGCCAGATAGAGTGCTATTAAACAGTAGTGTGTGTGTACCATACCCCATATCTTTTGCCTCACTCGCCTTTACCACTCAGTGCATAGAAAAGGATGCTTTACATTAAAACATACACCTGTGATGGAGAAGGACATGAGAAAATACAGTGAAAGTAAGATGACTTTCATAAAATAACAAAGAATACAACTGGGAGGAAATGTCAGAAATACGTAAGACTTAAATGAATAATAAGACAAAACTCTACTAAAGAGACATAAAAAATTGAAAGGAAAAATGTATCTAATTTCTGGATAAATGTGCAATTTTTGAGAGGTAAGTTTTTACTATATAGTCTTCACTGGTCTGAAAGTCACTATGCATGCCCGCCTGCCCTTGAACTTGTACTTCCTGCCTCAGCCTCCTGGATGCTGGGTGTAGATGCTAGCCATCATGCCAAGCAACATGCAATCTTTAAAAGTAAATATTTCCTTTCATAGGTTATTCTGGATATTTTTAGAATCGCAGGGATAAAGCCACTTAGATTTTAGAAACAGAATATTTGTTGCTTATAAATAAGTTGTCTAATTTGTGTCTATACTGAAAAGTTTCTCTGACATTTGAAATGGTCCAGCTTGCTTATCCATGGCACTCAATCTCAGAGAGGAAAGCTCTTTCAGCCCCCAGTATCTAAAAGCTATTTCTGTACTAGTAGTCACCAACTGGTTCTGAATCTTTTTTCTAGTTGAACACAATTTTCAGTCCAGTTGGATCACAGTGGGATTAATCCATAGTGAGAATTAAAAGGGAAAAATTCAGTGGGAAGTATTTCGGTGCAATCTTGAACTAGAGTTCTGCAGCCAGAGTGCTGTGCTGTCTCCTGCTGGTACTGCCTGTGCTTAGTATTTCTTTGGAAGTTTTGTTAAAGACATGTTTAGGCAGTTCCCCCTCCCCCTCCTCTCCACACACACAGACACACAGACACAGAGGCACACAGGCACACAGACACACAGACAGACAGACAAACAGACAGACACACACACACACAAGACACACACACACACACACACACAGAGAGAGAGAGAGAGAGAGAGAGAGAGAGAGAGAGAGAGAGAGAGAGAGAGAGAGAGAGAGAGAGAGAACAGATGGAATGACATATATCAGAGCTTTTAAAATGGAAGCCTGAGGGACACTTTAGCTACAGAAAAATAAAAAAGATTTGATCTATACAGGTCTTTAAAATTCTTTTAGTGAGTCATTAATATTTGAAAGTCAAGAAATGTATGTAAAAATATTGATTTTCCATGTATTGGTTGATTCCATAGGCAGTCCAAGCCTAAATTGAAATCAGTAGTCAAGCAGGACCACCATAGCAATAATGGAGAAAACCACAATTTTATTAAGACATTATTTTAATTTCAACACATATGTTTGTTTTGTGTAATTCTGCAGAGTATAATTTTATTTGTTCTTTAAACATATAGTTATTTTGAATACTCTTTGGGGAAAGAAGAAAAAACAGTCTTTCAATATTTGGGACCTATAAAGTAATTAGTCTGAGCTCCACTTCCAATACGTTTAATAACTGAAAGACTGCGGCCACATTAGGCTGAACTTCCCTGTTGTTGGGACCTAACAAAGCATTCACAGCTCCTGCTGCTTTCTGCTTTCCCATGCTCTTCTGCTCTAAGACCACTCGCTCATTTGCCTATCTTGCATGTGTGACATTTCAGTTGGGACTCCTACAGCTTTACAAAAACCAGTAAGAATTTCTACTTACTCTTTCGACCTTTTAAGTACTCAGGGTCAACAAGGACTACTCCATCTGCAGAGAGAGGGAGAGATGGCACACTGCTGAGGAAAATTTGAATGTGAGTGAAACAAAAGTTGATTCCTGGATGGATTCATTCCTTTCTACCTTTCAGTTGACCTCATTGCTCTTCTGCATGGCCATGCCTGGACTTTCTTTTATTTCCTGGTTCCCACTCCCTCCTCAGGCTCTTTCCCACTTTGGATTCACTAACCAATGGGCTCCACAGTGTCCACATTGTCCACGAAGTCTCGTTTCCCCAGGTAGATGGAAAACTGTTGTGGAACAACTTGCTACATCAGTCTCACAGTTATCTTTGAATGAATGATGCTAAAGCCCTGAGCCCAGCCCACCAAGACCCTGAAGAATGTACCCATTTATCCCCATTGTCCTTCCATTCGCCCAGATGGGCCAGGTTCTCTTACCTTCCCATTGGAGCTAGTCTTCTTAAACACTCTATGGGGTGAACAGACATAAAGAAGAAGGATGGGGCACAGAACAGGAAAGAGGGAGAAAAGAAGCAAAGAAAGGAAAGTTTGGGAAACAGGAAAAATTCCTAGGATTGGTAGAGGCTCCAAGATCATGAGATCGAGCCAAGGTAGAGATAACTAGGGTAGGGCCCAAAGCTATAAACCCTTCCACGTGAAAGGCAACTACTCAGGTCTGCATAAGGAACAATTCACAGGTCCAGAGCATCAGAAGGGATTCTTACGTGGACATGCTGGCCAGGGAATTTACGTTGAATCTTTCCTAAGATGAGGGGAAGGAGAATGCTCAGTTATTTAACCTCCATTTTTTTCTAGTGCACTCTAGTATCCCATAGAGATGCAGCTAGTGTAATAGAAATTAACTGCCTTAGATACCACCCCAGCACCCAGTGCTTCCTGTTTTTCCATCTTCTTAGGGCAACTCTTCAGTTACACACTTATCCAACTGGACAAGGAGAAAACACCTCTCTCCTTATTTTGTCTGTCTGTCTGTCTGTCTGTCTGTCTGTTGCTCTCTCTCTCTCTCTCTCTCTCTCTCTCTCTCTCTCTCTCTCTCTC